TCTGGTGGAGAAGGTAGTCTCCTCATCATGTATGCGGGGTGTCTGCTGATGGCGATGTGGTAGATGCAATCCCCAGACCAAGACTTCCGGTACGTGACCGCGACGACCGACGCGTATACTCGTTTCTAACGCGATCGCGCCAGTTATATGGGATTGAACGATCTGCTACTCGAGATCAAGCAAGATCCAAACAGCTTCTTGGGCGATGAAGCGACCGAGAATAAAGTCCTCAAGCAGGTACTAACATTGGTGGAGGACAAGATCTCCGAAGTGAAGAACCAGGCCGTGAAGTGGTGTGTACTATGTCACAGTAGTTTGGGCATATTCTGAACCTCGGTGATATCAAGTCTGGGTCAACTCATCAAGATCATTCGCGAGTCTCAGATGGAGCTTGTGGTCGACAAGCTTATTGAGTTCTCAGCCGGGAAGGATGAGGAACTGAGGGATATCTCCGGCCTCGGTATGTGCTCTTTCCTCTCGGACACGGCATCACGTTTACAACGCGTTGGCAGCATTGAAGACGATCACATCCGAGCTTCCTACGGAAGGCAAGATCGCGACGAAAGCGTGCGAGAAGCTCACCCCCAAGCTACTCGCACAGGCGGCGAATGTACGGCCCTGTCCTCTCTTCCTCTACATTCACGATCTCATTGGAAACTCTTGCACAGTCTGATACCCCTCCAGAGACTCTGATCGAGACGCTTGCCATCCTGTCTATCCTGATAACCCGTTTCCCAGCATACCTCGCGAATGTTGAGCCACAACCTGTACCGACCCTCACTCCCTTGCTCGCTCACTCTCGTCCTGCCGTAAGAAAGCGCGCTATCACTACGCTGGCGCAGTTCTTGCCGCATGCCCAACCACAAGACACCGCTGCGCTCTTGAAAACCGTTGTTCTCCCAGGACTCGCGCCATCTGCCAGTATCGACAAGCAGCGCACCGTCGTACAACTAGTGGCAGCGGTCGCGCGCCACTCTCCGCACCAGATTGCCCCCACCCTGGGTGAGATCGTCCCAAGCTTGCTCAAGGACGTTCAGCGCGACGACGAGGAGTTGGTGGAGAGCTGTCTGCAGGTACGACTCTCGCTTATATGAATTGTACACAGTCTGATCCAAGTGCTGCGACAGGCTCTGGAAGCCCTGGTTCTGAAATGCCCTAGCGAGATCACGCCGTCCTTGAGTTCCATCATCCAAGTCGGTAACCAGTACATCAAGCATGACCCCGTAAGTTGACATCAATGCTTGGCTGGTGCGCGATACTGAAGGCAGTAACAGAACTACGCTGGTGGGGATGATGACGAAGATGAGGAAATGGCCGACGAGGAGGAGGATGAGGATGAGGATCTCGGAGACGAGTGAGTGTCATAGTCGTTGAGTGTGCGGCGTTCGTTGACCCCGAATAGGTACTCTGATGATGAAGACACCTCGTACAAGATTCGTCGAGCCGCGACCAAGCTGCTTTCTGCAGTTATAGCTACGCGACCTGAATTGCTCACCACACTCTACAAGTCGGTTTCACCAGTTCTCATTTCGCGTTTCGGCGATCGGGAAGAGACCGTACGTGTGGAAGTGTGGTCCACGTACGCTATCCTCTTGAACCAGACCGGTGTATACGGCGGAGTTCCACAAAGCGGTCCTGAACATACTGTTGGGGGCAAGCGCAAGCGGGAGGAAGGTATGGAAGTCGAAGAGACTCCGTACACTTTGCTTCAATCGCAAGTGCCCTCGCTGGCCAAGGCACTTCTTGGACAGATGAAGTCGCCCAAGACACCGCCAACCACACTCGAGACTGGATTCTCTCTGCTTCACAAGTTGCTGACAGTCCTTCCTGGGTCTCTGGCAAGCCAATCCGCCCAGATTATCGCCAGCGCGAAGTCTACCCTGTCATCGTCCTCTCGAGCCAACTCAGCATCGCTCCAGGTCTCCTGCATGTCTTTTCTTGCTCTGTTCTTCGCCAAGCACGCTCCACCTGTCTACAGCAGCCAGCTTGAGTCGATCACTCCCTTGCTACTGCAGGCTCTCGGGGAGAAGCACCCTAGGATTGCGTCGGAAGCATTCCGGAACTTCTCGTCCCTTCTGAACGCCATGCAACCTGTGAAGGGCGGAGCGTGGGTCGACCAAGTCTACGACGAGGCTGTGAAGCGGTTGAGCAACCATGACACAGACGCAGAGGTCCGCGCATGTGCCGAGGACTGCATCGGAGACCTGTGGATATCCGCGACCGACATCATGAAGACGAAGAACAGGAAGGAGTGGGAGTATCTTTGCAGGACGACCGGACGCACCGACGGTGCCGTCAAGGTAGTCACTAGGGTCGCTACACAAGTTGAGATTGGAGATGAATGGGTCAACGGCGTCGTCGAGTGGGTGACTGTCTTGTTGAAGAAGAGTGGTCGTATGGGCAAGGTTGAGGTGTTCAACTGCCTTGACGCGTTGTTGAGGAGGTACGTTCTGGTTCCTGCATACTACTTCGGTATCTCACTGTGGACCAGGTACACTGCGGTTCCGTCGGACCTTCCTGCAAACCTGATCCCGACACTGAAGCCATACTTGACTTCGAGCGATATCGCGTTACTCGGCGCCGCATTGGACATCGTCGCTTTGCTGCTCGAGCTTGCTCCAAAGGTGACATTCCCAGAGGTCGAGCGGGACATCCTTTCCGATGTGTATGCTATCGCATACTCGCCTCTGCTCGCTGGTGCCCCCTTCGAGTCGCTACTGTCGTTCTTTGCGGCCCTGGTTGAGGCTGACATGCAGATCGCGACCCACGTCGTGCCCAACTTGGTCTCCGCCGTTGAGAAAGCGCCAAAAGCTGAGGCATCGCTCACCAATGTGGCCAAGTGCATTGGTCAGGTCGTCAGGTCTCAGCGTGCTGTTGCTGCCGGTACAATAGCAGAGTTTGCGAGGCACTTGAAGGTATGCAAGTATCTTCCGCGTCATAGATGCGCCATTGACACCAGTTCCCTCGGCAGCCATCCTCGAAGGCGAAGACATCTCAGGTCGTGCTCAGTCTGTTAGTCATGGGCGAGATTGGCCGCTTCATGTAAGTCACCCTCGTCCAACTTCACATGGCTTCCCCTGTTGATGTATCTCACTGGCGCAGCGACATGTCTCCTCAACACGAGATCTTCAACTATGCAATTGACAAATTCACGGCGGAGCAAGAGGAAGTTCGCACTGCTGCCGCGTTCGCTGCTGGTATGTGGCGGTTCAACATGTGGACAGTTATCTGGCTGACGGGAGTGTTTACAGGTAATATGGCCGTCGGAAATCTGCACCATTTCTTGCCTCTTATCGTCAAGTTGGTTGAGCGGGATCAAGAGAAGCGCCTCCTCTCTCTCCATGCTCTCAAGGAGGTGTGTATCATCTGACATCTTTCGGATGTCTGACTATTCTGACATCTCCTCACAGATCGTCACCCATTGCTCTCACGGACAATTGGAAACTGTTGCGGACATGCTCTGGACCCCGCTTTTCGAGAACTCGGAGAACCAAGAAGAGACGACCCGCAACGTTGCTGCGGCATGCTTGGGCAAGCTCACAACCACGCACCCAGATCGCTATCTTCCTCAGCTCCATGTAAGTGAAGCCGACCACTATCCCGACTGGTTGCTCACGCACACTTGTGAAGGCTCGCATCAACGATCCCAACCCCGCGACAAGGGCCACCGTACTATCCGCAATTCGTTATACCTTTGCGGACAGTGCGGCTACCGCGGCGTCGTTTGACGAGCTTCTTGGCAGTGTTATCATGGACTTCTTGTCTCTTCTCTCCGATACAGACTTGGTCAGTGATATATTACTCGCTCCAAGGGTTCCATTCACACCTTGGTTCTAGACTGTACGACGCTTGGCCCTTTCCGCCCTCAACTCGGCCGCTCGTTCGCGCGCTCACCTTATCCGCGACCATCTACCGACCCTTCTTCCCAGCCTGTACGCGGAGACGGTCGTAAACCCAGAGCTCATTCGTACGGTACAGATGGGCCCATGGACGCATAAGGTCGATGATGGTCTTGATGCGCGCAAGACGGCATATGAGACACTGTATACTTTGGTAAGCCTCTCAATGAAGTATTTATCAGCGCTCGTTCTCACAAGGCTTGCATAGCTCGACACTTGCCTGTCGAAGCTGGAGTTGCACGAGTTCCTTGGCCGTGTGGTGGTTGGCCTCGCGGACGACTCGGATGAGGTCAAGGTCATCTGCCACATGATGCTCTTCCGTCTTGCGCAAGTTGCGCCTACAGCCGTCGCTCAGCGCTTGGACGACCTCACGCCGCCTTTGGAGAAGAGCATGAACGGACCCGCAGTCACGAAGGACACCGTGAAGCAAGACTTGGAGCGTGCTGCGGAACTCCAGCGCAGCACTCTGCGGGCTGTCGCTGCCCTGAGCAAGATCAGCCAGCCAGGCGCGAGCCCCAAGTTTGACGCCTTCGTCGCTGCTACCCAGAAGTCGCCGCAATGGGGCGTCGAGTTCCGAGAGCTCGTTGGTGCCTGATACGCGATATCGCCTGACTTATCTTGCTGTATGCTGAATGATCAACGAAGCCGAAGACCCTGTACCTCTCTATTCCAACAAACATCTGTAGCTAGATAGCTGTCTTTACTGTACAATGAGTCGTTTTCGCCGCACGTACTCCTATCTTGTGCGAACGAGAGCTCCCTCAGCTGTCATACCAATTCATCCAGCTCTATAGCTACTTATGTTGACGACCTTTCCGGGGAGATATGATTGTTGGTCTGCCAGTGGTAAACTGATTATTCAACTCGATGCAAGACCGCCCCATATCTTGGAGAAGGAGGTCGCCATGCATGGTCCTCAGTCAACACTAGTACTATCAGTACTTGGTGGCCTGCCATCTTCTGTAAGTACATACCTGCAGGTCCCCGACCTTGTACTTACTCTACATAAGCGTCGGGCATTGACTGGCATTAACTCGATCGGGTCCGCTCTTGAAGGACTATTTCTGGTGAGATGTATTATGAGCACATGAAGTACTATATGGGCGCTTGGCACAGTGGTAGCGCGCCTGCTTTGCACATTAGTTGTGACTTGCATGAGGTCGAGGGTTCAAACCCCTCAGCGTCCATACGTTTTGCGTAGTTCGTGGATCCTTTTTCTTGGCCGATCTGAGTCAGACGAAGGGTTGATGTTGCAACAAGGGCCTGGACTGATGATACAAATACAGAGACACTGTACAAGAGGCTCCCCTCACTCGTCGCCGAAGTACTCCTCCACCAGCGCCTTCTTCCTCAGCTCCAACAGATACGCCTCCATCTCTTCCCTTGTTGGAAGCTTCGGTGGCATGAGGATCTCCGGCGAGAGGACAGGGATAAATGCTGCCGTCCGCTTCGCGTGCACGAGCATTGCCTCGTCCGTCGACGCGCCAGGTGGATGATGTGACGCTGCGCCGTCCGTCTTTGCGCGTTTCGCAACTTCGGAGTCGGCTGCCATCTCGACGTCACCATCTTCGTCTGGAGCTTTGCGTTTTGGTTCGGGAGGACCTGCTTGACTGATGTCCATGAGGGTGATCGCCGTGTGTTGTTTCGCGGGACGGGGTATTGGGGGGATGGGGTCGTCGGATGGGAGACCGAGGACTGTGCGAAGATGGTTGTACGCGTCTTTCCATTCTGCATAGGGGACGGCGTCAGCAAGCGGTTGAGTACGACCAGACATAGAAATCAGGTGGGTAACAGCTCAATAGAGAGCACACCAGCAAACATGTACCGCCTATTGTTCCATGGGCAGGAGGGGCAAGTGGACAGGATATGAGTATATCAAGGCGAATAACCACGTACCTTCTTCTTCAGCGTGCATCTCATATTCCAGCAGCTTCAAATCCGGATCAGTCTCATCCAAATCTCCGAAATACGCCGGGCCCTGGTTCTGGAACTTCTTGTAGTAGTTTTGAACCTTGTTCTCTTCGTCCTCCTCCGTCTTCTTGCTCATAAAGAGCTCCTTCACTCCTGGCAGATCCTTTGCTCTCCCAAAGTATTTGTAGCCCTTTGTCCCTGGCACCTCCTTCCCGTCGTCGTCCAACATGGCCACATTGCGCCGATAATTCGCGCCGCCGAGCGCGACTATCTGGTTCTCCCAATGCCGCTTCTCGCGTAGCAGTCGATTGATCTCATCGTTGAGGTCGCGCACCTCGTAGTCCGTCAGACCCGCTATGAAACGTAGAATGGGTGGGCTCAGTAACGGGGATGACGCGGAGACGGTATGGCACGACGTACAGTCCTGAATTTTCGACACCTTCCTGCTAATCTCGCGCAGAATCTCTCCTCTCCACCTCTCGCAGTCTCGCAAGCTCTTGCACGCGCTGGCCATGCGCGGTCTCCGGTCGCTGCGAGTCCCCAGCCCAAGCTCAGCTGCTTGAGCTTCACGGAACCGGTAGAGCATAGATTGTGCCTTTTCCTCATTGCGAGCCTACAGCAGCACCATAGTAAGCATTTTGTACCGTATTTGCGCATAAGAAGCAGCTGTACTCACCATTTTGCAGACACGGGTAGAGAGACAGGAAGGTGGATGTGGAGGAGGTGAGCGGCGGAGCGCAAGTGACGCGACAAGCGCCTCGTCTTGCTGCTGCACTGCTTTTTGCCCTTTCTGGGTCAGCTACCAAACGTCCGCCTGAATTTGCATGCGCCGTCCTTGTGGCTTGCTTGCGTCCTATACTTTCCTTTTGACGAGAACACTGGGGCAATCTCCCCGAAAACAGCTCTACAATGGCGGCGGTCTTGCTATCGAAGTCTGAACGCGCATACATCCAATCCTCGCTGAAGGCGACTCCACCATTGCGCGCAGACGGGCGGGGTCTTCTGGACTTCCGCACTGTCCTCCTCGAGACCGGCGTGGCGCCATTAGCAAATGGCAGCGCAAGACTGAACATTGGGAAGATGGCGCGCGAGGGCGGCGGTGGCACGGAGATAGTTGCGGCCGCGAAGCTCGAGGTCGAGGATGTCGAATCTGGAGATGGCGTCGACGGCGGACGGGTAGCGTGCTCGGTGACTTGGTGCGTAACATCGCTCGTACCTGTCCCACTGCGGGCCAACACGTCAATTCTTGCAAGGTAGCTCCCCTGCTGCATATCCACATCTCTCATCAAATGCACTGGACGAGCTGCAACACGACCTCAGTGTCATCCTGCAGCAGACCATCGGACATCCTTCTCTGCACCCACGAAACCTGACGATCATCCCGCGGAAGAAATCTTGGTTACTCAATCTCGATGCGGTCGTGCTGGCTGACGCCGGAAACGTCGTCGACGCGCTCTTCATGGCGGCGCGTGCAGCACTATGGGATGCGAAGGTGCCCCGGACTCGCGCAGTCCAGTATCGTGCCCCAGAAGCACTGAAGTCTGCCAAAAACGACGTACCCGGCGCGATGGATGTCGACGAGGGCACCAGTGGGTTCGACACGCGAGACATGGCCCGGACTGCCGCGGACTTCGAGCTACCTGACTACTGGGATGAGGGAGAAACACTCGACGGCCGAGAAAAATGGCCCGTCTGCGTCACATTGAACCTCGTACGTGCCTCCTATGAGAAAACGAATTGCGATGCTCACTGTACGAATGCTCAGCTCACACCGCGACATTTCCTGGACGCGACGCCAGCAGAAGAGGCATCAGTTCCCCAACGTCTGCACCTGATGTTCTCCTTTGTGCCTTCCGCGCCCCCGACGTTGCAGGCTATGCGGTTATTGGGCCCGGAAGAGCTGGATCTCAAGGATCTCAAAGAGTCCATAGCGGTCAGTGTCAACCGCATCTTTGAGCAGAAGAATTTCACTAACATGCGAAACGTAGTTCGGCGAGCAGTATGCGAAGGAACTGTTCACTGCATTGGAGACCAAATTGCGAGAAGAGGACAACAGACGGAATATCAAGGCGAGAGACAGATTTGCACTTATGCGATGATGCTGCGTGCATGCAAAAGTATTGTGACCTTGTAGTATAGTACGCCATACTTTGCTTTCATCATTATCATCTCATCCTCTGTCCTGAACAGTGGAATGAGGCATGACACTACGACGAGAAGTGGTGTCGAAGTGCTCTCGAAAGTCACCTCAGTCGGGGGTAAGCAATACACCGCACGAGGAATAGAATACTGATGGCCATTAATCTACATGTTTGCATTGTGAGAGCTAGATAACGAGATGATACGAGGTGGTACTATGTTCAAAAATCCCTGTGGCGTATATTACTTAGTCCCAGGACGGTGAAGTGCTGTACGAATGATTGCGGTTCGCAGCAGATCCATTCTGTGTCTGCGCCGGACTCGACGGCGACCATTGCGGGGACGTCGGACTGTAAGCAGGAGAGGCAGGGGAATATGCAGGAGCTACATAGTACAGTCAGTCTTTGCTCGTCAGAATCAGTAACGATGAGGGACTTACAGGTCGGTGAGTATGTTGGAGAGGTGGGTGCTGTTGATAACAGTCAGTCGTTACAAGCGGTCTCACTGAACAGTAAAACTCACAATATCTCGGTGAAGAGGGTGAGGTGGGGGAAGTCGGCGAGTACTTCGGCGACGTGGGCGACATCTGCGCCGGGGACGTCGGGGAGTACCGCGGCGACGCAGGGCTGAATGATGGACTCGTCGGTGAGTAACGAGGCGAGGTCGGGCTGAAGGAGGGGGACTGGGGGCTGTAACGAGGAGAGGTGGGGGAGAACGATGGCGACGTCGGAGAGTAGCGTGGGCTGGTCGGAGAGTAGCCAGGTGAGGTAAGGTTAAGGGCGGGCGACGTCGGCGAATATGTGGGAGATGTCGCTCCTCGGCCGTGGTCGTAGAATGGCGACGTTGCGTACGGCGAGGTACCCATCGGCGACGTCGCACCCGCGAACGGCGACTGCGCGAGGTAGGGCGAGGTAGGGGAGTACGCATTGGGCGAGCTGGGGCTGTACCCTGCAGAAGCAGGCGACATAGCACCCGCACCCATCGGGCTCATGCCGTATCCCATGAGCTGGTAGGTCGCCGGAGCCTCCTCACCACCATTGACCGCCAGTGGCGAGAATGCCGCCGTCTCTCCCTTGAACGAGACATCCTGCGCCCACATTGGCGAATTGCTGTCGTACGGCGTCATCGCGACTTGGCCAGGAGTCATGCCGCCGTCTGCCTGCGCCGCAAGCATCGTCTGCACGGGCAGCCGGTGATCGACGATGACGTCCTTGAGCATGTCGATGTCGAGGGCGACATCGAACGCGCCCGTACCCATTGGCGCCATTTGTCCGAACAAGATGTTCTCCGCGATACCATGACAGTCATCCTTCTCTCCAACTGCTGCCGCCTCCATGAGGATCTCGACCGTCTCCTCGAACGAACAACGCATCAGCGCGCCAGTGTCGGCACGGTTGATACCGTGACGAGTGATCGCCATGAGGGTGCCGCGGTGGGTCATGAGGTCGCACAGAAGCGCAAGGTGACGGTAGTTCACGTACGAACCGTCGAACTCGATGACACCACGAAGCTCCCGCATGATGGCCGCACGCGCCGCTTCAATACCCAGAACGTCGAAGATCTCCACGCAGGAGTTCGAGTACGTCCGCTTGAAGTCGACTCCGTCGATACACATGACGGTCTTCAAGTTGACACCATCTGTCTCCAACACCCACTCCTTCTCCTGCCGCGCCTCAATGCTGCCCGACGGCGAGATAACAATCTTGTCGTGCTCGAGCAAGAAGGCACGCTGGATACCCGGAACACCACGCAACTCGACGGAGTTGAGCATAGTGTTCTCGAGTTGACGAAGGAAGATGTCCTCCTCGACCTGCCCGAGGTCCTCCTCGTCCTTGTCCGCGCCACCCAGGACACGACAGCGGACGACCAGCTTCTCGGAGTTGTCCTCGCTCCAGATCACGAACAAGTCGGTCTTGAAGCTCTGAGCAATCCGGTTCGCGACATACGTCATCGTGAGCTTGCGATCAATCATCTTGGCACGGTCGAGCTCCAGACGCAAGAGCCACGGCGACATGAGATGAAGCTTCTGCTCGACCTCCTCGTCGGGGATGGCGAAGAAGGCATGGACAAAGTCCTCATCGTCCTCGATGATGGTGGAGCTCGGATCCGGGTCGTACCAGATCTCAACGGCGGCGGT